TTTTGTGCGGTTGAGTTGAGTTGTGTATGTGTAGTGCGTCAAGTGCACCGAAAGAAGGAGGTGAGGGTAAGTAAAAAGGATATATGCATGTTCTGACTAAATACATACCCACCAATAATGCAATGGTGGTGGTGGTTGTTGAAAATCAGCAATGTTATTTCTCATTTTGTCTGAGTCGTCAACAGCATATTGTCCATTCGGAGTTGTGCCTTTTTGGATTACGTGTCAGCATGTGGCAGTGCCCTGTTAAAAAGCACTCGGAAAAAAAAAACAAAGAAAAAAACATATATTTAGGTAAGGCTGTTTGGAATCTAGCTACCCAGACCCACGATTTTTATTCCCATTATATTTCATTCACTCTTAGTTCATGTCTGAATATATATCGAATTTAATCTACAGAGGCTGCATACATACTACTTATGCAAGCGGATATATGAGGAACGTAACAGAAGTGATCATATGATGATTGATTAGTTTCAGATTATATACACGAGGACGAAAAAAGAAGTACCAGTGTGTGTGTGTGTGAGAGAGAGAGAGAGGGAGGGAGAGAGAGAGAGAGAGAGAGAGGAGACAGAGAGACATAGTACTGTGCTAGTATATATGGGGGGAAGAGAGAGTTAAAATAGCGGGGTGTAATGATTGCAGAGATGAGAAAAGGGAGTGGGGTTTGGAGATTCAGTAAAGCACGCCGGGGGGAGGGGGGAGAGAGAGAATAAATGGCAGTGGGGGCAAAAAAGGAGAATGAAAAGAAGAGCACGTCTCCGGCAAAACAAGCCATGCACATTACACTTTGTCTTCTCTTTTACCCACTCATTGTTGGCTTCGTCTCCATTTGGAATTCTGTGGATCTATTTCTATACTTGAATTCTATAATAATATCTGGACCACCCGCATACTTCTTTCACGCTCCACCTCCATTATACTAGTGCTTTTTTATTATAATCTTTGTGCCTGCCTGTATATTATATGTGTGTTGAATATATGTGTAATGTATTACCACTAGTTGTGCAGGTGACTTTTTTGTCAGCCTCTCCTTTGTGCACGCTTCTCTCTCTCCTCTGTTCCCTTTCTTCATCCTTCTCTCTATTTAATTCCTCAATGTATATCTCTCTCCGTGCTTGCATTTCCCTTGCGTCCAAATGACGTCTCATTTTTGTAGCCCCTGCACGAAAAGAATTTAGAACTTGATTATATTTCATCACATATATAGACTCATGACCTCCTTTTCCTGTCAAGTGTCGCATTGTATTTTAATTTGTTTGTTTATGCATGTTCCTCTTCTTGATAACACAACATCATCTTCCACACAATTTATTCATGACCACCACATATGTAGTTGCTTTGTTTTTTAGAAATAACCTAGGATCCAGAAGTAAGGTATATGGTTAAAAGGGGGAAGAAAGAGATCACTTGATCAGTAACGTAGTGTCTGTTTTTTTTTTTTTTTTTGCCCCTGAAAAAAGTGGGGAAATGGATGGATCCTTTGCGGGACAAAGATATAATCATCGACGAACAGAGTTTGTTGTATAAAGGAAGACCTAAATGGTGTGTGTCAACATTTAGCACAGTAAGATAGCGTTTCGTTGTGGGTTAATATGTAACTCCCGACAGTTAATATTATTAAACGAGTGATTGGAATCCAAGGTTGATATTGGGTGTTAGAATGTCACGTCATAGGATGAATCGTACAACATGGCTGGAACATCGCCCAGTTCTGAGTGTTGACCAGCACAGTGAAAAAATTAAAAGTCCGGTGGATTATGATTTCCTCCTCCCAAATTAATGATGAACTATATTCCCATTAATCCATCTTGTCGCTGTCGGTTATCATGTTAATTAATATATTCAATTAAAAGTTTATACAAATCAAAGTTTTAAAATTTACATCATTTCTGCTCACTCAAACGTCAAGCAGTGAATCGATCAAAGACATATATGCACCCACATGAATTACGTTTAGGGGCAGAGACTCGACATTCCTCGCTTTGAGTGATTCTCATGTCCCCCCCCCCCCCTTCCCCTTTCTTATGATTTAATTTCCGCAAATAAATTCACATTTCAACTTCACATTTTCAAACCCCTCCCCTGTTCACCCTGGTCCTTCCATGACTGCAAGGTATTATTGACTGACCTTTTTGTTTTTTTTAAAAATAGCAATATAATAGTCAAGTTTTAATAGCACCAGGTGTACTGCGTAGTTTATTTGAACTCTATTCTTTTTTTTAATCTATTTCTAGATATATTATATAAAAATTGATTAATTAAGGCTGTATAATATATGCGTGATTCACTGATTGCTACACCCACATTAGCTTCACAAATGATCCCGCGATCTACATGGAAATTGAAAATCATGGTAGAACTAGAAACTGATATATCGTAATCTCCATTCGTCTATTGGAACGAAGGACGTGACGACAGGTGTTTGTTGATTTGAATATTACTTTTGAATGAAAGATCGGCTGGCGTTGAATGAAAATGACATAACATATAACGCAATATTTTTTAAAGTTTACTGTTTTGTTTTTTTAAAAATAAATCTATAAAGTGCCATTATTAGATTTCATTGATATGAATAATTTTATCTCAAATTGTTTCATAATTTATGATAGGAGGAGTAATTGATTTCATCTCGAGGGTATAGGATAACAAGCAACAACTCTAAGCACATGCAAAAGAATATACACAGACACGCATTAGAAAAGAAACCAAAACACGATAAAAAGAGCTGGTCGTTCCTTGATCCTCATCCTGATCACCTGCTCGATATAATCATAATCTTCTGTGCCGTACGATATACCCGCCTCTTGTTATCTCCTACAACGAGAAAACAAAGACCAATGCAACGTTAATTCCAGTTTTACATACTTTCTAGCAGCACAACACCACCGATGAATACATGTCTCTTGACAGATTTCTTTTTTATAAATTCATGCTGTCTGTTTTTTTAATTGTCTCCTCTTTCCAATTTCAGTGTAATTTTACAAATTATACTGTCAAAATCAACTTTATTTATATTCAATATTATAATATTTTAATTGAATGTTAAATGTAATTATTCAATAATAATCCAACGGTGGTACGTTCTTGATTAAAAGAGAAAAAAGAAAAAGAAAAGCCATCATTTCTGTGTAGAACTTTAACATGTCATTTGATGCTCGTCACAGTCAACGACGCTGCTCGTGTTTCAGCTTTATGCCTTGTTTATTTAAAACGGAATTTTGTGTGCGTGTGTTTAATGCCATTTAGTTACTCAGGACATTCAAATCTCATCTTTTAATAAAATAATTAATTATTTTTAAATTAATATTATCTTTTCACATTTACATTTATTTAATAAAATATTTCAATTTAAAATAAATATAAAATAATTTATTTATTAAAATATTTAAAAAAATACAATAATTATATTTTAAAATATTAAAAAAAATTATATTTTTTTATCATCCAATATAAAGGGAGTAATTAATTCAGACAGTTAAGTATTTTTATTAAAAGATAATATCATTAATAAATAGATGACAATTAGATCGTTTTTATTAATCTCGTATTTATTGTAAATTCTCGTTACAAGAAGTTTAGAAATTAACCAAGAAAAGAGTTCTTTGAACTGAAAATTATCGATTGCTTATGAGCATGGATTATTTCATACCAATCAACTTCAAATGAATAGTCAGAATAAATAATATATATTTCTTTAATTTCATTCTGTCTCAGAAGAAAATCTCTCATCGATAATCTGAATCTTGTTGAGACGGCGTTTGCATTACACAGCAACTATTTTCTCGGCGCAGCGAGCAAAAATATCTACTTTCAAGGGATTATTTTCTTTTTCAAATCTTTCAGTTTTTCCCCTCCTCATTACTCGCAAATATATAGAGGATTGATGTATTGACTGCATGAGTAAGTTTAATTGCTCGCCCTCACCAAATATATCTGCTTTATATGTGCATTTGTATTTGTTTGGGTGTTTATTATTTAAAAAAATGATAATAAAATTTCTCTAATTATATAAATGATAAATTTATCTCTCTGCTATAATCTCACTAAAGCTCTTAGTAATTTTCGTGTCAATAAATTTTAAATTGAAATGATTATTTTATTTTTATTGACAAGTTGTTATTTCTTATTTAATTATTATAATTTTTTGAATAAAAATTATTATTTTTTGAATAAAAATTATGAATAAATTTTGTTATTTGAAAAAATTATTTTTTAATAATTAAAATTACATTTGACAGATTATGATTTAAAAATAAAAGTTATTGTTCTTTAAGCAAAAGTTATAATTGATGTTTTTTTTTTCAATAACAAAAATTACATTTAATAAGTTATGATTTTTTATTTAATTCTTACGATTCATAAAATTAAAGTTGTGATTGAAACTTGTTATTTTTAATAAAAATAAAATAATTTTTTTATTTTATTGACATGAAAGTTTTTAAAAGTTTTAATAAAATTATAACATATTAAAGAATCAAATTATTATTTATATAATTAAAAAAATTATTATCATTTTACCTTATTACTTTCGCTGCACAATCCACACAAAAGCTTGGGGTGGGAACTATAAAAAGGTGGAGACTTGCGATAAAGCAGGAAAAAAGAAAATAAAATAGCAGAGATCTATTCTGATTCTCGGGAGGCTCTACTGCTCTAGACATCTCATCTCACAGCTGGAACTCGTTCCTTTTTTATTCTACCATGAAGCTAGATTTGGGAACACATTCTTCCAGTCATGGGGCCAAGTCCTAGTGTCCCAGTTACAATCCCCCCTTTGTGATTTCGCTGTCACACTAACATAAGTCTGCAACCAAAACGTAAAACCTCAGTATCCCATTGGCCCGACCTACCACAATCCAAACCAAACAGAACCATTCCACACTTCCCGATCCCATGCTTTCTTTAGAATCAGTGTATATATACGTTCAGTTTAAGACCCACCCCACCCCAGTACTCATTACTCAGGTTCAAATAATAAATACTGCGTATGAAAATGAGAGAGAAACGAATATGCCATTTTCTATAGCTTGGAAACTCACAGAAGCATTGCTTTTACAGATACTACAGACCCCTCCCTTCGTTGTCACCAGTTTCACATCACCCACAGTACACTACAATATAATGTCCCTTTCTTCTTCATCTATGAGTCAGATTCTCCTCCCCTCCGGTTTTTCCTACTTACATGCAACATTCAGTTCACATGCAAAGATTCCCAACACCACTTATATAAACCCTAATCACAGCTCTCCAGCCTATCACATAATTATCTCAATTATATATCTTGCTTTTCTCTAAACAAACGACCTGACAACTAAAATAGTAAAACCCCACAAATTAACTCACGACGAGTTAACTACCATCCCGATAATACCAGTGCTAAGAAAATTTAAAACGACTAGGCCTGCAGGTTAATGAACTCTCTCTATTTACTCAGACAATCAATTTGCGGTCCAGTACACGACGCCGTTTGGATCTTTCGCTTGAATTGGAGCGTTCAAGCAATGATTTCAATGCGTTCTGGAGGAAGTGGATGGATTCGATACTGTGGTCATCATCGGCGGCCACAATAAGAACGTTGCGGGTTCTTCCTCCCAGTGTTGCCATTTCTGCCTTGAGGGTTTTTAGATGCAGCGACTTTAGGATTTCGATGAGATCAGGTATGAGGTCGGAGCGATCTTCGCAGCATAGGGAGGCTTTGAATATGAGCCTGCCGTCTCCGGCGTAGTCGCCGCTGGTAGACAGGACGGTGATTTCGTCTGTCTCTGAAGGAATGGTTTCGAGTTCGGTGATCTGTGAAGTTTGCTGTTTCAGCTCTCTCACTCGCTGGACAACCTTGGCTAGAAGCGAGGCCTTGTCAGTCTGAGCAACCATACAAATATTTAATTAGATGAGAATTTGGATGAGAATTGAGGCAAATATTAAAAGAAACAGAAATATTCTAGTCTGTGTAAAGCTTTGTGACTTTCTCCCTTATTCACTGTGTTTATGCTTGTGGAAAGAAACTGTGGGAGGTCTCTCTCATCGCGTGCCTTTAATGGATTGGCCCATTAAAGCTTTTGAACATTCAAAAGTACTTCTTTATAGAACACAAAATAATTCAAGGGAAAAAGAAAACAACTCTTTATGATCTTTTGTAAGAGAAGATGCGTAGGAATACAAGCGTTCAAAAGTCCGAGATACGATCAATAGATAGCGATTTTAGAGAATGAGATAACTTTTTTGTCCCTTCTAGTGTAGCAGATAACAGTTCGCTTCCTCTCATTCGCTATTGGCGGAGAAATTCTGAGGGTGAAGAAGATGAAGAGAAGAAAAGAAAAAAGGCTTCCGTTATACGATCTAGAATATAATCATCTGACAATATAATTTAATTAACGATCTTGAATATCCATTATTCAACTCCCAATGGAATACTGATTAACGGTTCATCTCAATTCTAGGGGAGCAAAGTTAATACAGTCAACTCAAAGAAAATGAAGCCGCAGTTGTCAAAAGTAAGCCGTAAGCAGCCTTTGAGACGCAAAATATTCTGTATATGCATGACCTCTCTCTACCTGTTTATTCCTCGCCGACGACGAAAATAAAACGCATACGTGTGCCTATCAGATATTGAAAGAGCAATATCAGGTGTTCATGAGGAGTGAATTGAGAAGAGGGTTTACCTTGGAATTACAGGGAAGAAGGGTGCGAAGCTTATCGAGGTGGGAATTTATCCTCTCTCTCCTGCGCTTCTCAGCCTCCTTGTGATTCTTCAAAGCGGCGAGGGCTCTGTCTTGCTGGGGTGTGTCCGTGATTTCAGAAGAATCCAGGGGATAATAAGAGGAACTGCAGAAACTGTGCATTGTGGAGGCGGCGGCAGGGGGCAGGCCGTACGACGTGGGAGTAAAGAAGGAAGCGCCGTTGCCGGCGAGGAATTGGTAGAGCTCGGAGTTCTCCATCTGCTGCTGCATGCCGATGACGATGAGGATAGCTAGCTATCTAGCTAGCCGTTTTGATCTAATAAGCCTAATTAAACTTCTGTATCTATATTATTCCTTCAGGCCTCCAACCTAAATAATCTCTGGGTTGTGTGTGTGTGTGAAAGAGAGAGAAAGAGGGGCAGAGAGGGAGTTCTTGTGGTGGTGATACTTATGATTGCGCTTTTTGACTGACCCAAGAGTTCCACTTTGGATTGTGGATATTGAAAAATTAAAAGTCTTGGACTTGGAATGCTTGGCTTTCGGTGATTAATTTTGCCTTCGTTTCATTTTTTCGCTTTTTTCTTCTACACTCAATTTATCAAATATTATCTTTGTGGATAAAATTGTTCTTTCCGTTTTATGTATAATAAATCTAATTTATATAGTCATCATATGTGATCCATTAACTTGTCTCTCATCTCTTTCTCTCTTTTTCATTGGCGGACATGTCCAATTGGCTCGCCGCCTCACGCAAAGAAACAAATCAAACTACCTTTCCTTGCTGTTTATTTTTTTAGCTAAAAGTTAAAAAAAGGAAAGTCGGGCCCTTTAGAAATCGAATTAAAATAATTCAAGTTGCACAGCTATAAATAATCGTGGTTAAGACACTCGCATATGCCTTGTCGTCACTTTGATAAACAAATGAATGGTTTAACAACGAACATACAGAATTATATGTGCTTCGACTTTTCGAATATTATGATGGTTTATAGTCGATGCCGTTCTGGACTTCTGGGTGATTTATGTTGGAGGATTCAAAACTTCCACAAATGAATGAACCTGGCCGAATTTGATGTGCGTATAGAGATGCTGTTAAGAAGGATCCTCCAGATCAATGTGGAAGTATCGATGCATGAGTCAGAAAACAGCAACAATATCTCATCAACCAGGATCAAGACAAAACAATGTTGAAAACCTTCAAAACACCACAGGGTACATGCGCCAAAAAAATCAGTCTGAATCTTCTGTATTCACAATACTAACTGCCCGTATGTGATGCCTTAAAAGTTAAGAGAGGTAGAGAAAACAAATTAAAATGATATGAATCTCATCGTATCTCTTGCATCACTTTTTCTCCAGCGCTATGATTAATTATTTGACTGAAGATATATTATTCGTCAAGATGTGCGCCGGAAGAAGGAAATACACTGACATACCATCTGCAGGCAACGAGCTATCTCTCTCACACGCACCTATGAGTTGAAAAACTTACCGCGTACATTCACGGGTATTAATTGCATATACGTGGCTAGAAAACAATGCGATCTTACTTCTATTTTTAAGAATACATTAGCTTTTGGGCATGCGTTTGATGTACTATGGAATATACATGACCCCAACAGACCCAACTGCCAAGTAAGGACGAATGATGTCATTACTTCTCATAATTTGTATTATCACAGTCCAAAATATAAGCACCTCTTAATAATAATTTACGTATCAATAAAATTCTTATTATGATATATGTGTGTATATATATATATATATTGCAGTGTGAATATCGTTGGCAGAAAAAACATGTAGCGTGCCGGTCTCATAGTGGGCTAAACGCGGCCCAAGCCTTGGTGCCCACTGGCCTTTCCTGTTTAGTGAGTTTGGACTGACGTTTGGTGTGATTTTCTCTACGTGCATAGCATGCATTCCAAAACAAAATAAGGAGACACGGACGCGTATCCCGATCCCAGCTTATCCATAGCAATTGGTTTCATGCATTTTCGGCTCATAAAAGATGGTCAGTAAAGGAGATATTTTTGATGTGCAAAACAATGAACGTGGCCGGTGTGCCGTAGAAGCGGAGACCATGAATGCAAAGTGCAGGAGAGAAGAAAGCAACAGCCCAGCAATGAAGTGGAGATAATTAGTTTTATTTAGAGAAAGGCTTATTATGATAATAAAGTAGGGTTAACAAGGAGCAGGATACTGGCAATAACAAGTTACGTGGTTTTGCCTATCGGGCTTACAATAACCCTCACCCCCGAGGTGGATTGTAGAGCAGGTCCAAGCACATCCATACGTTTGATTAGTCGCGCTGCATAGTAGTGCCCCTCCCCCAAGATCTTTAATGCACAGAAATGCATCTTTTCCCGCTCCTTCCACCACTGTTTTCGTTGCACCTATATCCAAACAAGCAAAATATTAACTCCATATGTGCGCACGAGTGCATCAGCTTAGTTGTGTCAGCCTCCTATTGAAGCTTCCCTCTAAGTGAGAAGTCCCAGATTATAATACTGTTAGTGCTTGTGCCTTGCCTTGTTATTATGATTGTTATTTTTAAATTATGGTTAGATTGTACACCGACAGGAATATACCTAGCACTGCAAGTACAAGAATTACCACACCCAGCGCCGACCATTGATTCCTCGTCATCCTCGTACAGCTTCGTCTCTCGCGCTCTATCCTTCCTCTCCTTCCCTTCTATCAGTGCGCGCTTCTGCTTATACTCCAATACTCACTATATATGGAAATTACGTAAATATCATCAAATCGTTGATCATATAATATCAATTAGTGCAATCGTCACTCTTCAATTTTCATTCATGTTGATTGATACCCGTTCCATGCATCTGGAATTAGTTTCGAAAATCGATCCAGTTATATATTCTCGTTCTATATGTAATTGATTGCGTATCAGACTATTACTTTACACGCGACACAAATAGAAATGATACGATTATGTCAAATTTTGTTTAATATTGCTTGCAACAGTTGATTTTCAAGACCAATTTTGTTAGAATTCTACGACGCGTGATCATGCTCCCTCTGTTACGCTCCCTCCATTGCCTAATATGTAAACCAATAAACAAAGAACGAGTCAAAAATATATATATATATATATTGAATGAAATGCAAGGTGTTTTTTTATGGGGCTTTCGTAGATGTAACTCATGCCATATTGTCAAACTAGGCAAACAACCTTATATTTATTATAGAAAAATATAATTTTCTATCCCTATATTTTGCTTGCATTTTGTTATAAATTCCTACATTTTTTTGTTCTAAATTCTTATGCTTCTTTTTATATTTTAGATATCTCTAAAATCCCTACACTTATTCATAAAAGGATCTAAAATATTAAAAAATAAAAGTGTGGAGACCTAGAATACTAAAAAAAGTGCAAAAACTTATAGCAAAATATGAGTAAAATGCAAGGACTTAAAGTTATATTTTTCTTTTATTATAATTATATTTGTTAATAATATATCATTGTATGTCAATAATTAATTCCTCATAAATTTTTAATGTTAAATCTCTTATATATCAATAATAAACTTCTTATGTATCAATGTGAACTGGCTATATTTTTAAATTTTTAAAAATTTGATCCATATTTTTTGGGTACAAGATTCTTTTTGCTCCATGTACCCAGAAGATAGGGAAAATTTTTTTTAAAATTTAAGAGTATGGCCGGTTTACATTAATATATAAAGGATTTATCGTTAAAAATTTTAAAATTTATAAAAATTTATTATTGATATACAACAGTGTATCATTAATTAATATAATAAATTAGCTATAATGCAAAATATAATAAATATTGGGTTGTTTGCTTGGTTTAATTCTATAACACGAGTTATATCTATAAAAGCTCTTTTATTTTTATTTTGCTTATTTTTAATTGAATTTACTGTAGCATGCATATATTCAGCCTCGGAAAATTAGAAAGGATGAAAAAAAGTTCTTGTAACACTAAGAAAATCAAATAATCGTAATGAACGAAATGACCTATAATTTCGGTGCCTCAAAGAAAACATCGACTTCTAAAATTTCTATACAATGTCACTGAATTTTAAAAATAATAAAATAAAGAACAAGATTTATATACTTAGTTTTATATACTTTTGTCTAGTCAAATTATGACATATGAATTTTAATGTGTTAATAATATTGATAACAAAAATTTGTTATGAAACAAATGAAATATAAAAAGAGAAAATTAACTCAATGGTATCAAAAAATACAACTGCCATGAATTATGGATGAAATTTTTTAATATTTTAAAATATGGCCCACTTGTAAAATTAATTAGATGTGTTTTTTCTTTTTTAATTTTAAAATAAATTTATTATTAAAATAGAATATATTTAATTTAACTAATCTTTAATTGATTAAATCTTTCATTTTTTTCATAAAAAATTATATTCTTCATGCTTCCTCCCTGATTTATCATCTTTAAAAAAAAATTTCATCAAATTTTTTGATCTGATTTTTCTGAATTATCATTCATCTCTTTTACAATGCTTTTCTTTATGAAAATTTTTGATCTAATTTGTTTGAATTACCATCTTCATCGTAGCGTTTTCTCTCTCTCTCCCTCTCTGTTTTCCCAGATATTACGGATAGGACATTGGACACTAAAAAGAAAACTCCGTTACTGATATGTGATACTATATCATTGTTATACAATTATATATCAATAATAAATAAATTGGTAAGTTTTCATTGATATAATTTGTATATCAATGACATATAATAGTATATCAATCGTAGACTAACATAATCAGACAATCAAATATAAATTTTTTTATAATTGATATATAATTGTATATCAATAATCTAGTATCACATATTAATAATACAAAAAATACATAATTATTTGTCCAAAATAGATCAAATATAGTCCATAAATTTTTTTAAACTCTTGGCTTATCACGGAGAATCAATCAACTAAATTAATAAAATAAAAAATCATGAATCTATAACTCTATTTTCTTATTAGTGTGCTCCACTCTATTGAGTACCATTGATACATCTCACCTTGCATTTGTCTCTCGCCATCGTAACTATGACTCACTCACGTTGCTTTGCTATTTCGCGTTCGTCTCTCTGGTCTCGAGTTTTGTCTTCTCTCTTGCATTTATCTTTCTTGTTTCAAAGATTTCTTGCATTTTAAATCTCCTAATATTTAAAAAAAAAGATATTAAAAATGACAGTTTTGTAAATTAATTATAATCTAAATATTAAAAAAGTTATTTTTTAAAAAATTTAAGAAAGAATATGCTATTTTTTTTACTTGGTTTTATAACATGGCTATTTATATAAAAGTCTCATGTAAAAAATATATTTTTTTTAATTTAATTGAAAATAAATACTTTAAATATATAAAATTAAGTGTATAATTTTTTTTTTAATAAAATATCCAACCACGTTTGTTCAAGTCCGAATAGTGGG